GAGCATATTTTGAAGGAGATAAAATAAATATTGATGAAGATTAAGAATTTTGCGTTTTATTTATTTATGACCGGAAACTTTTCGGTCACAATGTATACGGAATATCAATAAGATTTAAATATATTGCAACTTGGCGTCTTTTATGTAAAAAAAAAGTAACAATATGGAGATGCATTGAAAAGTTATCAGTGTTATAATAGCTACAAAGACAGTCATGTTACAAGATTGAATATCGCTTTCATTGATTCTTGCTGTAGCTTAAGTTTACAAAGGAAATGCGTGACAACTACTTCTCACTGCTCCCTGTATACGAACGTAGATAAAACATGTTAGGAACTTACTTTTTATTAGCTAAAGCACCTTTTTTGAAAATAGAACATCAAAGGTTTCAGTTGGTTTTAAGCAAGATCTTATACGGTAATATAATGGGCCAATAAGCCTAAGTGAATGTCTACGATTACAGTTACTACCAAATCGAAGCTATAAGTTAGACCCATATCACATAAAATTTAATTTTCGAATACTTGATACGAAAAAGTTTCTTGTTATTTTTATTAATTAATTAAGAGAAATAATAATTAACGTTGAAGGTCATACAATTTTCAAAAGGAAATAGTTATTAGACGGATTCGAATAGCAAAGAAAAGACAAGGACAAAAATTTATTTTAATTTATAGAAATTTCCTAAGACCACTGATGAGGAGTACATTGCAATACTCGAAACAGCGTCGTTAAGTCAGCTAAATTTCAATGAATTAAAAATTAATTAATTAATAAAATTTTTGTCCTTGTCTTTTCTTTTCGTCTAACTATTAAATAGTTTATTTTCGTCACTCTCGGCAAGAAAAAATTAACATAGGGAATAGTTGTTATTTGTGCTACGTACAGAATTGAGCAGATAAGGTTTAACTATTTATAAAGTTTTCTATAGTAATAGAATAACTAAAGATTCTATAATAAATTTCAACTTAATCGGCATACATTTTTCAACAAAACCAATTTTAATAGAATTAAAGAAAAATATCAGTGAAGAATAAGGAAATTTTCTTTTTGATTAATAATTCAAATGATTACTTTTGACTATCGATTCTAAGTCTATTCTATTCTTTTATAAATAGAATTGAAAAATGTTAGGGTTTTGACTTCTTAGCAAAGCACACGCCTGTGACCACAGCACAACTTTTGTGCTAACGATTGATTAGATTTTCAGATAATGGCTAGAATGTCTTCCGTTGAGTACATCAAGCAGAGGCATTGGTTTTCGACGCAGTAAACGATATATCTTTATAGTAACAAGAATCACTTTTTTACCTGGTATTGTTTATATGGATATGAATATTAGGAACATTTTTGAATACACTGGAAATTTTATTGTAGTCTCAAATAAATTAGCAGAATATTGGAAATATGAAGAAATAAGAGGTATATATAACCTCTTATATCAAGTGTTTATATCAATCTTAAATTAATGAAATCTACAAGCCTTATAATGAAATAATGATTACCTTGCAGAAGCTTTGCGTCATATAATAAATTTAATTTTTTAATTTTGGTTGTATTTAATTGTAAAATTTGGTAATAAATTTTAGGTTGTTGTAAAATTTAATGTTTAATGTTTGCATGCATTAAAAGTTAAATAAATATGATTTGTTAACCAATCTTAGGCTACAAATATTAAAATAATTACCATAATTTAATAATATTTGCAACACATATCATCATCATTAATAGCGCAACGATTCTAGTTGAATCTTGGTCTTCCTTATAATACATATACTATATGTTTCTAATGATTTCGATTCGTTCTCAATTGAACTTAAACGAGAGTTTAAAACTATTGCCATATTAATGAATCAAATATAGTAAATATATAGAAAATATTATGGTTATATGTTTACAAAACCATTTTGATATATCTTTTGGATATAATTAATTTGAGCTAAGATTTTGTCTTAAGTAAGTACGCAGAAATAGTTTCTATTAAATAAGGTTGAAGTTTGAGAAAAATTTATACAATTATTAATTTAATATATAGCTGTGGTTTATGCGTTCGTTCTAATTAGTAACACAAAAAGTGTAACATAATGAATGTTTATTAATGAATAACAAACATGGACAAAGTTTAAAATTTGAATAATTTGCATTAAGTATATTATTTAGAACGCTAAATGTCTTCAAGTGCTTTGTGGAAGTATTAAAATTATATAAATTAAGAATTAAAGTAAGTTAAAAAAATTAGCTGAAATAATTATGTTTATTCCGTTCATTCAAACAAGTGCTTTTTAATTTTGTGGGATGTTTTCACAGTTAAAGTATTAGCGAGACTTCCAGTTAATTTCTGAAGAGATCTCATTGCGATACTTTACGAGTGACGAATGAACAAATAAAATGTGGATTATTGTTATGTTTAATGCTCTGCACTTCAGTTGTGCAAAACTAGGTTATTTGAGATTGTGACAGTTGATTTTTTCCAAAGGTTTATTGTTGATTTTCACATATTTTTTTTTAATACTCAAAAAATAATAAAACTTTTGTTACGGCGGAAATTTGTTCTGTCATGTTAGAGCTGCAAAAATCCAATAAAAATTTTAATGTGTTTTTAATGAAGCCTAAAGATTTCTTGTTGAAAAAAAATAATAATAAAATCTAAGTGCAAACAAACATTTCATAAGAAGGTTAATATATTTTTAATATAAGAAATGCCGTTAGAATATATCGCATAGTATTGGTATGGAATGAATGAAATGCGCTCCGGTAAGAGCAAGAGTGTGAAGGAATTTAGCTTGAAGGTATGTCTTGATATTAAATTTAATTTTTATTTTTAACAAAAAACATTGTTTTTCCTTATGAATTTTATATAATATTCAGAATATTTACAGATTACGTTTTGTTTGTGATAAATTTTTAGTGATACCTGTCTAAATTGTTGTTCCGACTGTTCCACACTATACCACCCGCGGCGTGATAACATTGCTTATCGAAATAATTACAAATATTTTTATTATTATTTTAAAATTTTATTTTAGAAATTTGATGTTTTAAAACTTTTTTCTTGTTTATTTCGACGGCATTTGTAATTCCACTTTTATGCAGCCACAATATAATTTTACCAAATGTTTTGGTTATAACCGCCGGAGTAACAAAAAAGATTAAATTAATTGCTTGTGATTAATTGCTGTTGGGATTTAATGCCAAGTTAACAAGTTAACGAGATTATCTAACCAAAATTTTAACTTTTTAGAGTTGGTAATGTGAGTTGGAAACTTTCTTCATTGACGTTTACGACAGGAAAAATAAAACACCGAAATTATTAAGCAGAAAATTGATATTTTGTTTGACATATTTTTATATTCAAGAGTATTAATTAATTAATTAATTAATTAATTATATATTAAAATTAATTACCTATTTTTAGTTTTTTTAAGGAAGTTATTATGATTTTTGTTTTAATTATCACTTTCCGCATAAACGCTGATTATAAGATTTGTAATAATAAGTTTCACTGACATATTTTTTAAGTATTAATTATTTAAGATATATTTAAGATATATGAGTTCAAATCGTGATTAAAACTGAAGAAAATTATATGAATTTATTAATCTTGTATTTTTTTTATAAATATATAAATTTTTTAAAACGTTTTGATTTTATTTTTTGTAATTTTATAAATCTTTTTCATAAAGAGGTTTTCGAACAGAAGTGAAACAACAACATACAGCTGTTTCGAGTATTGCCAAATACCCTTCATCAGTGGTCTTGGAAATAATTCTTGTATTTCTTTTTCTCAAAACTAACCATTTTAATAATAATAATATCAAAATATTTTTTAAAATACGATATCTAAATTAAAAAAATTATTAATAAAAGTAATATACGATGAATATGTAAATAAATTTTAAGATGTTCGCTCTCATAGCATGATTCATATAAACTAAATCTACTAGAATACAGGGTCTGATTTTAAATACCAAAAAGGTCTGATCTAAAAAATCATTCCTAAATAATAATCTCGTTTCAGGGGTGGAGCTTTAAGTACTACTTAAATTCATAAATTCGCTTACGACATAAAGATTTGACTCTATCTGGTAACGCTAGGGGTCAATAGGTCTATGCGTGGCTTAGTTTCAGGTAAATTATTCTTGTAATTCATATACCTAAGATATGTTTATTTAAAAATTTATCGAAACAATGTTATGCGTTTAGATGCTTTTATGATTATGTATATAGAATATATACATACATTGCTATTGAAAATTATGACATATACTAAACATAAGTAAGGAATTCAGTAAGATTCAAAATAATAGATAAAAATATTGATTTAAACGAATTATGAAATATTGTGTTGTGATTGAGAGTAAGCATAGATAGAATGATGCAATATCATTTATTC